GCTTTGCGCTGTTCATCCCCCCAAACTTGTCTGCCATGGCTTCGTATTGTGTCAAAAAATGGTTTGCAACGGTCTGACAGTTTTGAAATGAATCGGCTCAATGCTGCGATTCGTTCCGTAAGTGTTTGCACTTCCTTGACTGTTGTCGGCTCGGCATTCTTAGTCAGAGCTTCTGCTTGGGCTAGGCTAGCTTCTATGCCTCTATGATTAACCACGTGTCCCAGGAATTGACTAGAAGTCACGTCGAATGAGCATTCGGTTGGATTGAGCTTCATTCCGTAGTGCCTCAACACATCAAATATGTCCTGTAGATGTTTCAGATGGTCAGCTTTCTTCTTACTTTTTACTACCATGTCATAAATGTAAGCTTCCATGGTCTTTCCTATTTGTCTCTTACAATTTTTGCTAATAAGCCTTTGGTAAGTTGCTTCGGCGTTTTTCAGTTCGAATGGCATGACTTTGTAGCAATAGGTCCCGCGTTCAGTAACGAAAGAAGTTTTTTCTTCATCAGCAGGGTCCATGGGGATCTGATTATAACCGGAATAAGCATCTAAGAAGGTTAAGCGCTCATATCCAGTAGTAGCATCCACCATTTGATCAATTTTCGGCAGCGGAAAGCTATCCTTGAGACAGGCTTTGTTTAAATTGGTGAAATCGATACACACCCGCCATTTCCCATTCTTCTTCTGCACAACAACAACATTTGACAACCATTCAGGATAACACACTTCTCTTATAAATCCCGCGTCAAGTAGCCTGTCAACCTCCTCGGCTATGATCTGGTTACGCTCTGGAGCAAACCTTCGCTGCTTCTGCTTTACAGGTCTTGCATTGGAATTTATGTTTAAGGAGTGACAGGATACGGAAGGATCGATTCCAGGCATGTCTAGGTGGCTCCACGCAAATACATCGGCGTTCTGAGACAAGAAATCAACTAACTCATGTTTCTCTGCCATAGCAAGTCGTTCCCCCACTCTAGTTGTTCGTTCGGGTTGGAACCGATCGATCTGTACATCAACCAGGGGTTCTTCGGTTAAGTCCAGTGGCTCATCCTCCCCATTCTGCTTGGGTGGAGGTTCCTGTAATTGCTATCTTGGGCTTGCCGAACAGATGGGTGCTTTCCCTTTTCCAGCATGCTTCAGCGTTACTGAATAACATTCCTTAGCTGCAACCTGGTCCCCATGGATGTCGATTACCTTGGCTCCGTCTGGCCCCAGGCATCTCATTACTTGATGCAAAGTGGAAGGAACACCTTGAACTCTGTGGATCCACCCTCTGCCTATCAGAAGGTTGTACGAGGGATGGATTTCGACAACCACAAAGGTCTCCATCAGAACCCTCTCTGCAGCGCGTACCGCTATCTCCACCGTACCGATGGGTTCCACTCATTTTCCATCAAACCCTAGTAGAGGATTCCCGGTAGATTTGAGCCGGTCTGGCTTGATTTCGAGCCGATCAAATGTATCCCTCGGCATGACGTTCGCACTACTTCCAGGATCAATCAGAACTCTACGTACCAAACATTCGGCCACTGTCAAACTAACGACTAACGGGTCCTCATGAGGCATCTGAACACACAATAGATCTGTTCTGTCAAACTTTATCTGTGTTGATGCACTCTATTGGTGCAGAGTGTTTACACTGCCCACCCTTCTCTTCATCCGTGCATGGCGAAGGCGTGTTTGAAGCAGTTCATCTGACTCCTCAGTAGGCTCAGGCCGACCGTGAATTGCATTGATTATTCGGACTGGTTGCGTATTGTGAGGGTTCGACTTCTGATTCCTCTTCACGTGCTCCATTGGCCGGTTCTGTTCCGTCGCCAGGCCTTGAATATAACTTGCGAACTCCTCTCTGGCTATCAGCATCTCTATCTGTCTCCTTAAGTTCCTGCATTCGTTAGTCTGATGGCCGAAGTCAGAATGAAATACATAATGCTTAGACTGATCCCTCTGTTCGAGGGGTTGTCTGATTGGTAAAGGTGGTCGGAACTTATCTTTATTTTCTTGGTACAGCCTTGCTATGGTGACTTTCAATGGAGTAACCAGCTCTTCCTCTCTGGGCCTCTTCTTAGATTTCCATAAGGAATGCTGTGGCTGAACCTGCTTTCGTCTGATCTTTGCTTTGGTTTTGTCCTCTGTTTATATGACGGATGTTTTCCGAGCGTTTGCTGCCTCTTCTTCTTCCAAGCGCACAAATCCATCGACTCTTTCATTTAGTTCATCCATAGTCTTCAGCGTGTTCACTACCAAGCTTGTGTGGAATGGAGTGCCATGAGTCATGGCCAGTATAAATGCTTGAACCGCTGTAGAAGGGTGACATTCAATTACCATACTCTTGGTTAGGTTAAACCTGGTTAGGAAAGCTTGGAGGCGCTCATCCTCATGCTGCTTCATTGTGAATAGGCTTGAAATGTCCTTTGCCGGACGCTTATTTCCATAATATTGGCTTATGAACCGATCACATAAGCTTCGGAAACTATCTACTGAGCCCCTCGGCAGGTTCTTAAACCAATTGAGGGCTGGTCCAGCTAGACTTATAGGGAAACACTTGCACATCAAGGAATCATTCTCAGTGTTCAGAGCCATTTTCAACTGGATGTGATACACATGATCAATCGGATCGGTCGTTCCGTCGAACAGAATGAAGATGGGCATGGAAAATTTCCTCGGACTCGGAGCATTCAGAATTTCGTCAGTGAACGGTGAGTCAACCGTTCGAGCTGCTGAATGGAGGGCTTCATTTTCCCTCTGGAACCCCGCGGTTGCTCTCTGATCCACAAATCTCCTTTCTGAGCCGCGATAGTCGAACATCGCCATGGAAGGCCGATAGGTCGGATCGAATGATCTGTCCTCTACGAACTCTCTGTGCCATGGAGGCATAGCTTTGTGACGATCAAACTCCATTGCTTCACCTTGGCTGAGCATTTCTTGATGTGGATCAAAGGTCATGGCTTCGTTTTGCCTGATCTGTTCGCGCTATGGATCCACATGAGTTGATCCTTTATGATCATTAATACGACGGGGATTTGGCGGCAAATCGTTTGGCCGGACTTCCTCGCGGTGAAGACCTGTCTGATTGTTCCCTACTTCCTCGCCGTCATGTGCCGCATCGGTATGTGCAACTTATTCTCCAGCCAGGAGCAGTAGCGGAATCACCGGGACTTCTTGACGCTGCATTTCAGTCCTTAAATCTGCATTCTCTCTTCTGAGAGCTTCGATCATGCTCATTAACTCATCAAGCTTCACCTGCTGGACATTCTCTACCGTATTGGAGTTCTCACCCCCAATCATCATTCCAAAATGGAGCAAAGGCATGAATCATGAGTTCAACTCTAGATCGGAGCCTCTCCAATGTGAATCACGGTAGATCTGAACTCAAATGTTAAGAGTTTTGCTTTCCTTTCAATAGATTAGAGTTGTTCCGGCGTTTGAGCTTGCCGGATCGAGTCGCGATGAAGTGGATCACGGCTGCGTAAACTTAACGCCAATCTCTCAGAATCAATCAAGAATCCAGAATTTCTTCAAAAGCCAACCGCAATCTCTTAGATCCGAACTAAACTCACAAATTAAGCTTCGTCATCATTAATCAATCGGAATCAACATGACGTTGATCAAACAAGAATTAATCTTCCACGTATTCCCACAGACGACGCCAATTGAAGATGCAAGAACTTCCTTCGATTTTTCTCTCTCTAAAATTCTTACACTTCAACAGAATGAAAAAGTCCAAAAAACCTCCCCCTATTTCTACTCGTACGGTCTATTTATAGACCATCACCAAAATTCTCACCAACTTATTGTATAGGGCTCTTATTCTAGGGCCTTCTTCCTTTTGGGCCTGACTCCATTATGTGAGCCTCAGATGTTGGGCCTAACTCTCAGTGTTGTGTTATGGGCTGAGCTCAACTGTTCAGTCTGATCCTTCTTTCGTGGGTGTTGGGCTCATTGCGGTACCCTTTTTGCTTGGGCTCGGACCTACCATTCAATCGGATACCTCACTCGTGGGTCGGGTCTGGTCCAATCCGTTTTTGGCATCTTCAGTAACCAAACAAGCCTCTAGGTCAAGCCAATTTCGAAATCCCTCTAAACCCTTACAATATTGGTCTCAAATAATAGCTCTTCCCAAGTTCTTCCAATTTTCTTTCTTGGTTATCATCAAACTCTCACTCTAAACTTCTCAAATTGAAGCTTGAAGCATGGAAGCCATTGGTGTATATAAATAGATATAGATAGAGAAAGAGGAGGGTTAGAGAGATATTTTGGGCCGAAAATGAGTTGTTAGAAAAGTCTTCAATATGAATGCATGGTCCTCCTTGTGCCAAGTGTCAAATTCTTGTGGTTTACTAACTTTGTCAAGTTACCATCATACCCTCCTTATTCTATTGCAATGCCAACAAGATCCCCAAAATATCATCTCTAATCTATATATACATGTATATGTATATATGTGTGAAATGACTACAACGCCCCTTAAAGCAAATGGCAAAACCGGGAGAAGTTCCCAAGCTCGGAAATCGTCCCGACTTTCGAAAAATTCTAAAATCAATCCCATCGCCTTTAATTGACTTAAAATAATTAAAATACACTTCCAAAACCCTCGGCTCAAGAAATTGACCTAAATGGCCATTGTGGCCCGCGTGGCACGCAAAACGATGCACACAAAATAAATAAATAAAATTCTAAAAAAATCTGAGACATTACATTCCCAACCCTTGAACTTAATCAATGATCATTATGTTCATGTCATGCATCATATCCATATTACCATATTCATGAAAGATCATTTCATATACAACATCATAAATCATCTAAGGCATGGAATTGCATATACACATAGACATGGAAGCTCTTTATCATCACTTAGCGTGATTCAAGCAATTAGACAATCATTTCACAGGTTGAACATGTAGGAAACATACATAACACATAATCATGATTTCAACGAAATACACATGTAAAAACTCACATAGATCAAAGAATTTGTAATTTAGATTTTTCTACCTCAAAAGATGCAACCAAAGCCCTTAGATCTCAACTCGAAATCCCACCAAAATGATGCAAGATTGATGCCAAAATGTAGTCCTTGTCGAGCTCTATAACTTTTCTAACAATGGCTTAGATCAAATTATACTTATGTAAGCAAAATCTTACAGAAAAGAAAGAAATATAGAGAGAGAGAAGAATGAAGATGAAAACAAAGTGATGGCCGAGAGAATGGAGAGTGAAGACTTGTGGCCAAAAATGAGTCAAGAGCTTTCTAGAGTCAATGGTCAATGTCAAGGTCCACTTAACACTTCCAAAGACAAAAACGCCCTCTAAAGCCCCTTCAACTTTCGTCTAATGCCACATATTATCATCTTCCACTAACCTCTCTTTCTCTCTCTCTCTCTCTCTCTCTCACACACACACACACACATATATACACACACACCTCAATGGCAAAAAAAAAAAAAAAAAATACAATAAAATCACCGGATTGCATGACACGTAAAACGATGGCACGAAAAATAAATAAAATAAAAATACTAAAAAAATTAGAAAAAATTCGGAACATGACAAAAACTCATATGATCTCAAAAATTAATAAAAAGTAATTTGTTTTTTTGCCAAATTTCCAGGATAATATATGCAAATTCCAGGGAGAAAAGTGATTTCCAGAAAATTGCCCTGATGAGGAAAGCACCCTGTTTTTATTTACAGTTCATGACAATGATGTTTTGCAAGTTTCTTGGTGTTTAAAAAATGAATTTGAATTCTTCTAAAAATAAAAATTAAAAAAAAAAAGGTAAGAAAAAAATTTTTGAATGGAGTTTTTGTGTTTACAGTTTATATAAAGGGAGGTTGGGGATGAGGACGGTTGGTGATTCAAGCATCGTGGAAGTTTTTGTGTTATATTAACAACTAATTATTATTATTTATTTATTTATTGATTTTTTATCTTCCTCAAAGACGCTGTTTGCAAGTATAAAAAATTACTTGTAAATATCAATTCACATGGGTTTAAATTTATTACGGTTGATCTGCAAACGAATGCATCATGTATCCTATCCTGTAAGTACTTGTAGAAAATAAATAAATAAAATAAATTGATAGTTAACCATGACATGGACACAAAGGAATAAGTCCTAAACTATGGTTACAACAAAAAGTTCTGTGGATTGGTAATTTTAAATCACACCTTTTTTTACTCTGAAAGTTCCTCAGTAACTAATATTTGAAATTGAAAGATTGACCCCCAAGTGTATATATGTTGCCTGGTTCCCTTGAATGGCATTCACAAAGAAATATTTAATCCACTATACATACATTTCAAGATTCATATGTAAAATTAATTTTCTTGCATTGCATGCAGTTTTTCATGTTTTCTTATTTTGAATGATGAACCAACATCATCATGTACAGCATTTGATTTTTCCCATCTTGAAATTTTAAAATTCTGATAGAAATTTCTCTCACAACCACATTCTTCTGCAAGTGTTATCATAAATAACCTGCAAAAGACTTGTCGAACTTTCCTCTTTCGGCAGCTTAAGAAGGTGAGCAACTCTTGAGAATCCGGCATGCTGCCTGAACAAAGAATCTTCCTTTACTTCTGGCTTCATCTCTTGCTTGCAAAGTTTCGGTTGCTGCGTTAATGCCCATTGCATTGCCCATATGGCCAGAGGGCGCATGTAGCCTAGAGCTCTGTACTGGCCGTCCGTGTTCCAAGCCTCTGGAGTTTGAAATGAAAAACTGTCGAAGAAACAACAATATATTAATGAGCATGCATATGGAAATTCTGGGGAATCGAAAACAGAAACTTATGCAGTAGTGTCCCAAATGTGCATGGTTCAGATACTAAAACACATAACTAGCTAGGTTTATTCTTCATAAAACAGCTTTTAATTAGATCATCCCAGCTACAAAGTCTGTTGTCGTCCATAATTAACGCAGCTGAGTGTTCAATTTGCATCCTCCTAATATTCATTTTTCTTTTTTCTTTTTTAAGGAAAGATTCAGCATAATTAAAGTAGTTGAAAAAGAAGTAATGAGGAATAACTAGGCATCATTTTTCCTTCTTATCCTGTACATGTTCTTTCTCATCTTACAGAGGAACCTCAAGGTTACAGACATAAGTAGTTTTGAGAAATTGCAGATTTCTATGTAACAACCCGACTGAAGAAATAAGTATGGATGACATGAACTTTCTGAATTTAAATTCTTGAGCAATGAATCATTAGTTAAGATTAGTTTGGAATCACGATCAAGAAATCCTAGGTTCTCTTTTGGAGGGGGCTTGAAAGGAGAAAGCTAGCTGGAACTGGAGGCGGCATCTAGGAGAAAGCTATCAGGAACACCGAACACCCAATGTTGGAAAAATATCATAACCAAGTTTGAGACTGATATTAGCTGCTGCTTGTTGGTCCCAAAACTGTTTTTGGCTGAGAAAAATATTCTTAAAATTATAAACAGTAAACGATGCAAGAAAAATAAACCACACCAAAGATATATGTGGAAAAACCCTCCAATGTGGAGGGAAGAAAACCACGGGGCAAACTGACAATAACTCCACTAATAAAATCACGCGGTACAATGTTGTTCTCAAGCTTATGCCCTAAATTAGAAAAATACAATCAACCCTTCCCAAACACCCGTGGGAAATATTGATCCTACTTGAGAATCTAAAATAGACAGTAATGAAGAGCGTCCCTTCGCAAACATGCGAAACCGATCTCTCCTCTACGTTGTTGTACTATTCACCATCTTACTCCGCACTCACTATGTATTCACCCACACACTCAGAACGCAAAATATCTTCAATTCATTTAGGTTTCCCAAAACCTAACACATGAAGTGTAGCACTAACACACCTAACACCAAACCGTGCACGTAATTTTTATTATTTTCTTTTAGTTTGTAAGTCAGGTTGGTGGGACCCCACACTGCTGTCAATGCATTGATTGGTGAGTGGTGGAGCTGTTACGAGACTGAATTTCAATAATTTTTGGCAATTCTTGGCAGCACTGGTTGTGCTGTCCATGGGATCAGGTTATCCAAAACCTCCCTTATTCACAAAATTCATTCAACTTTGCTTAATGGCTGTCACCTGTTGTTGGTCCAGCCACTAACATGTGATTCTTTATAGTGTATTCTCTAGGTCATTTTGGCTGATAGTAGGATTCAGATCATTTCAAACAATGACTTTTACATAAAACATTAATCGGAAATCAACAAAATAGAACATACACATGACGTGGATACACTGACACAATAAATCATAAAAGAATAGGATAGGAAAACCGAGGGAACATGAGAATCTACAACTAAAAATGTTTTCAAGTAAACAACATGAATATATTTGATGAATTTTCTAAAATGCTTGCACTAGGAATGGCTAAATATAGAAGATTAAGCTTGACATATATTTTGAAGATTGGTGCTTCTTGAAGATTTAATGGAGAAATCAGTGAAGGAAAATCTTTCAGTAATTGATGTTATTTCCTATTATTGAAGATTTGGTGTTACTAAAGGAATCAATGAAGAAAAATCCTCCTTGTTTCCTATTTACTAATTCTTACCATTCTCATAGTTTCTTCTCCTATATATAGGAGCCTCCACCATTGTATTGGATATGAATTGAGAGAGTATTATAAAAGTGATGTAGCCCTTTGGTCTCTTTGTGCCATGGATGTAGGCCCTAGGAGCTGAACCACGTAATATCTTTGTGTTCTACTCGTTTAATTTATCTTTGCTTCCGTTTTATGCTTTACAACAGTGCTACTATTCTCTTACTATATTTTTGTCTTTAGAACTATAGTCTTGTTCTTAGCTTAAGAGGTGTCAATAGCATACTTGACCATTGTAGCCATGTGCAATCTCAAATTTTCTTAACAAGTAAATTGGCCAGTTTGGGGTGTGTTCTACTTTGTTGAATATTCAATTTATATTTTACTAGAAACTACTTTGTTAAATATATATATATATTGTAATTCAAACAACAGTAATTCAAGGCATTGGTGCTAAGCATAGTGCAAGGATGATAATTTTACCCATTCATATGCATTCAATAACCGGTCTACTCTTATTTTGGAGGCTTTGGATCTTAAGTTTTAAGTAATAGGTCAAGGTTTCGAGATTGGTGGAGAGAAGAAAAATATGCATTAGCACCTTTATTCTACAATTGTAATTAATTAAAAATATAAGTCGTGAATAATTACTCTATTTATAGATTTCATACTTTCATGAGAATTAGGTTGGTATTAGAGCCACCCTAAGAAAGAAAGAAAAAAAACCCTAATTTTCTTTTCTGTACAATTTCTTCGCTGATCAGCCATGTCTGACGTTTTCTCCATGTCAACCTCGCCTATCACAACCCAGCCAACCAATCTTGCAACCCAAGCCCCCAATATCGATTCTCACTTGGTTCAGATCACCAATATTCATCTTAATGGTGACAATTATTTACGGTGGTCCCAGTCCGTTCGGATGTACATCAGACGACGGGGAAAGATTGGGTACCTGACGGGAGATAAGAAGGCACCAACATCGGAGGACCCAACTTATATGACCTGGGATGCAGAAAATTCAATGGTGATGACTTGGCTTGTGAACTCCATGGACGAGGATATTACCTCCAAATATATGTGTTACTTCACGGCCAAGGAGCTTTGGGACAACGTGAATCAAATGTACTCTGATTTGGGAAATCAGTCTCAGATCTATGAATTGACTCTAAAACTTGGTGAGATTCGGCAGGGAGAAGACTCGGTCACCAAGTATTTCAATTCATTGAAGCGCCTTTGGCAGGACATGGATCTATTCAATGATTATGAATAGAAATCCACTGAAGATGCCAATCACTAAAAACGGACCGTGGAGGCTCATTGCATTTACAAATTCCTTATTGGGCTTAACGTGGAATTTGATGAAGTACGGGGATGGATCATTGGCAAGACTCCACTTCCTCCAATTGGTGAGGTGTTTGCTGAGGTTCGAAGAGAAGAGAGCCGCAGACATGTAATGTTGGGGAAGAAGACTATCAGCGGACCTGTTGAGAGTTCTGCCCTTATTTTTGCCAAGACTGCTGCTAATAAAGCAGTCAATTTTCAGCAAAAACTTGAAGAGAAGCCATGGGTCTGGTGCGATTTCTGCAACAAACAACACTATACTCAGGAAAACTGCTGGAAAATCCACGGAAAACCAGCGAATTAGAAGAGTAGCAAGCCTGGTAACAGAAATAGGCGTGCAGTTCCTACTGCTAATGAAGCTAAGACAAGTCCCTTAAGCAAGGAGCAGATGGATCACCTTCTGAAGCTTCTGAAATTTAATTCCTTATCTGGTATTCCTAGTGTTTCTCTTGCACAAACAGGTAGTGCACTTAATGCCCTTTCTTGTTGTTTAAATTCTACTCCATGGATCATCGATTCTGGAGCCTCTGATCATATGACCAGCCTTTCCAATCTTTTTAACACTTACTCACCATGTTTTGGTCTTGAAAAAATTAGAATTGCAGATGGTAGTTTCTCACCTATTGAAGGAAAAGGTTTGGTAAAATTATCCGAGAATATAGATCTTAAATCTGTTCTCCATGTCCTTAAACTAGCCTATAACCTTTTGTCTGTGAGTAAACTAACCAAAGACTCTAATTGTCATGTAATTTTATGTGATTCTTACTGTGAATTTCAGGACCGGAGCTCGGGGAAGAAGATTGGCAATGCTAAGATAATAGATGGACTTTACTACTTTGATGGGGACTTCTCCAGTAATAAAAGGGCTCAGGGCCTTAGTAGTGTTAGTTTTAACTCTGTTTATGAACAAATAATGTTTTGGCATTTAAGACTAAGACATCCTAACTTTCCATATCTTAAACATTTGTTTCTTACTTTATTTAAAGGTTTGGATTGTTCATCGT